AAAAAAGAAAAGAAGAAACAAGAAAAGAGAATATTCTTATAAATAGGTCCTGAAAAAATAATTCTAGGTCCTACTTCCTAATAGCTATAGAGTCTTGGGCAAGTCCTAGAGCAAGTTATTTAACTTCTCTGAGTTTAGTTCTTCATCTATAAAATGTACAAAAATAGTACCCACATTACTGGGTTGTTGTGAGGGTTAATGAAAAAAAGTATATACAAAATGCTTATTAGAAAACTGTAAGGCACACATTATTCTAAGTGAAAGAACTGAGATACAAAATAATATTATTATATGTTTCTTTTTATATGAAATGTTTAGAAAAAGCAAATTTATACAAACAGCAGAGTGATTTTCTAAGGCTGAGAATGGGAGTAAGATTAACTGTAAACAGATATGAGACCACTTTCAGAATGACTGAAATGTGGAGTAACCAACCACTTGGATTTGTCTCAGAAGAAAATGTTTCCTGGGATGTGGGACTTTCAGTGCTAATTTACTAAAATTATAGAATTGTATATCTACAACAATAGAATTTTATAATACATAAATTAATAAACAGCTCAGGGAATCCCCTGGTGGTCCAGGGGTTAGGACCCTGCGCTTCCACTGCAGGGGGCACAGGTTTGATCCCTGGTCGGGGAACTAAGATCCCCGCAAGCAGCACAGCGCAGCCAAAAACAAAAAAAAACCCAACTCAATAAAGCTGTTAAAGTAAATAACAGAATAATAAAAATACTAGGTATACTTCACAAATAGTGTCTTGATTACTAAAGTAAACATACAGGGGCTTCCCTGGTGGCGCAGTGGTTGGGAATCCACATGCCAATGCAGGGGACACGGGCTCGAGCCCTGGTCCAGGAGGATCCCACATGCCGTGGAGCAACTGGGTCTGTGTGCCACAACTGCTGAGCCTGCGCTCTGGAGCCCACGAGCCACAGCTGCTAAGCCCACCTGCCACAGCTGCTGAGGCCCACGCGCCTAGAGCCTGTGCTCTGCAACAAGAGAAGCCACCACAATGAGAAGCCTGCGCACCGCAACAAAGAGTAGCCCCCGCTCCTCGCAACTAGAGAAAGCCCGCATGCAGCAACAAAGACCCAACGCGGCCAAAAATAAATAAATAAATAAATAAATTTTATAAATAAATAAACATACAAGCATTCACAATTCATGAAGCAATGACAATTCTCATTTTATAGGTGAAAAAAATCAGGCTTAGAAGGGTTGTAGGTGCTTTAATATGACACAGAACTTGTAATTAACAAGGCCAGGAATGCAAACCAGGGCTAGTTTCAGAGCTTTAATATTTAACCACTCTGTATGACAACTGTCTAGTAATAAATGACCTGGATAAAGACAAAAAAAAAAAGTAAACATACAAATTTAAGATATATATTGTGAAACCATAAATGTCAAAAAGAAAGTAAAAGGTTCTTATATACTGAAATAACAAAAATTTATAAACATAATTTGATTTTTTATTGTCATTTTTGAAGGTTATAAAATTGTGTATAAAATTTTCAGAGAAAAGGCAAATTTACTATTTAGGTTATATAAAAATAAAAATGAACTTTTCAATCCAATGATAAATTAAATCTGTTACTGTCCGTAGGGCAAGTTGACAGTTTAATAAACTCCTTGAGGATCTCTCTAGATTTACCCATTTTCCTGGCTGGGGATATACTTTTTGTTTAAAAAAAAAAAAAAGCTGTTGAAATTTTAACTTCCTTTTTTTCCTACGTAAATATAATATGTAAAAAACAAACAAAAAAACTGTACAGCATATATTAAGTGCTGAATAAATGTTGATGTTGGCTATTGTTATTACTAACCCATCAGCAACTAGTTCCACCTATAGGTCCCTAACACCAAGGCCTACACCATTGATTATTGTGTGATAAGCCTTACATTACAGATGTCAAGGCCTACCTATATGTGGACAAAACACCTTTGGGATGTCTGGGGCCCAAAACAGCAGCACAGGGAATGAAGTGAGAGGCAGTGAGAATGAACATCCAAAAAGGGTGAAGAAAGGCAGGATAGGGAAGGGAACAAAAGAATGGGAGAACAGGAGCACAGAATAAATTTCATTTACTTCCTGATTTGTTCACAGCAATCCTGATGACTCTGAGACCTTCCGGGAAGGCACATGAGACTGAGTGGATAGGGTCTGTAAACTGCTGTGCTGAACATCTAGAGAGTACAAGCACCAGGCTCCCTGAAAGGCAGTCTCACTGACTTTTCACATAGAATGAAAAACTGCATTAAACTTCAAACCAAAATGTGGTTACAGTCATCTTTCCATTTGTACTGACCTCGCCAACACAAGTTTCCATGCTACATCTCCATAGCATGATATGAGAAAGGTGGCACAATAAACACCACAACCAGATATTTGGGAGATACGGGGGCAAAAAACAAAAAAAATTATACAAAATTTTAAAATAACTGATCCAAACCAAATCATACAAAATATACTTTGTATATTTAAAACTTTTAAAACTTCATATACTGTTTCTCATATCAGTTTCTGGATTAAGGTAAAAGACTGAATCCACACATCTCAGTTTGCTCCCTCTTGAAACCCTCTTAAAACCACTAAAGAAATATTTTTAAAGGTTTAAACTTACAAGATTAGAGAAAATAAGAGAGACAACAAAAAAATTTTTGGAAGCAGGAAAGCAAATGGACAAGTGATAACCGCCTTTAATCAGAGCCAAGAAAGCCCAATCCGAAACGTAAAGGGTGGAGCTGAGAACCAACAATCACCAAAATGAGGAGGGGAGTATCGACAGCAGAGAAGTGCTTGAAAGCTGTTTTAGGAGCAGATCCCAAGGCCACCTATCAATCCACTTCAAGCCACTAAAGGTTTAGTCTCTACAGGAGGTAAAAGTGAGGTTCTCTGGCCCAGGGGACACCAGGCGCAGGTGTGAACAAAGGTACTGTACAGAAAACCAAGGTGGCTTGGTTGGAGTGGCTATGTACACAGTAAATGCGGTGTGCATAGTAAATGCAGCCCGCCTCCACCACCCAGCCAGTCAAACCCTCATGCTCCAAGCAGAACACCAGAGAAGGCCTCTCTGGGTCACCTGACCAGCTCAGAAGGAAGGACTAAAGATAGTGAGTGACATCAGGGACCACCAAGAAAAAAGATTAAGAAAATCACCCAACGATTAAGCTCAAAATTGATATGGCCTACACACTTGCTCAGAACTTCCAATCAGCTGTATAATCCCGCAGTGCTAATCAGGAGCAGAAAATTAAGGATTAATAGACATCTGAGGATGGAAGAGACAGACCAATACACACAGCAGGAAGCAGCAGCCTGGAAGAAACACAGACCATTCACTGTGGGGAAAAACACATGAAAAAACTATCAATAACATCCTCGAAAGAGAAATTATTATTTCCAAAAAACAAAAAACTAAGATTTGATTTTATTTTTTAAAAAGGAGGATGATTTTAAGAGCAAAAGAGCTCTTAGAAAATAAAAATGTGATAGAATATAAAAAATAAATAGTAGGGCTTGAAGATCAAGATAAGGAAATCTAGAAAAATTGAGTAACACACACGCGCGCGCGCGCGCACACACACACACACATTCCAAAGAGGACAAAGACAAAGAGGAAAACTGGAGTGAAAAGATAAAATCAGAAGACCAAAATAGGAAGCCCAACATTCAATAAAGTAATAGTTCAAGATAAATACAACAGGCAAAAGGAGAGGAGGAAGTCCTCAAGGGAAGTTCTCAGAACTGACTCAACTGTCAGATTGCAAGTGCCCACCACACACACAATGGATGAAAACAGACCCACACAAGGCCCTATCACTCGGAAACTGCAGAAAACCCTGAAGGCAAAGAGAAGATTCTACAAGTTTCCAGGTAAGTCCAAAGTGGTTATATACAAAGAATCAATGAATGGATTCAGATTTCTCAACAGCAACACTACAAGAAGACAACTGTACAAAATTCTGAAATTCGCTGTTTACTCTGTACCATCTTTAAAAACTAAAGGTGGACCTGGCTAAGATACTTCTCTGTACCTGGCTTGGCCTGACCATGTGCTGATGAAGTTCCTTCTCTCTTCTCTATGCCTGCTCTTTCATTTCATCTCACCACAAATTTTCTGATTTGACCTAATTCTGAGAGCTTGAAGAAGGCTTTGAAAACTTTAGAAGCTGAGGACTTCCCTGGTGGTCCAGTGGTCAAGACACCGCGCTTCCACTGCAGGGTGTACAGGGTGTTCGATCCCTAGTCGGGGAACTAAGATCCCACATGTCACACAGCGCAACCAAAAGAAAATAAATAAATAAACTAATGAATGAATGAATAAACAAAATATTTTAAAAAGAAAAGCTTTAGAAGCTGAAAATACAAAGTAACCCACTCCCTCTGGCCATACTTCTACAGGATGTCCAAAACCAAGTCCACACTACAACCCTGCCAAGCACCCTCACTTCCCCAGACTTCCTCCCGCCCTTCCCACTGTCCTGCCTGGAAGAATCTCGTGAAAACCCTCAGGTTGGGCTTCTCCTGGGAGGCTGCAATCAATCATGGCAGCACTGATCTTTCCTTAGACAGTTTCTTTGTTCTTGCTGCTCCATTTTATATACAAATATAGTAAAACTAAAAAGAGAAGCAAGAAAATCCTAACACCAAAGTTAGGATGCAGATTACCTCATGGTGGGCTGCAGGGAATCTAACGGGCGAAGGGCCCACAATAGCATGTGGCATCCCACCTAGTAAGTAACGTTCTGCTTTCCATCCTAGGCATTGAGTACAATGGTGTGTATTTTGCTTTTTTTCATACACCCTTCTTTCCTTACAATTTTAAAAACTGTTTTAATGTACATATTCTTTCAATTAGAAATTATTAAACTATACAACTCATTATTAAATCACCAAGGTTTATATCACATCAGCAGCACAGCTCTACATCAATCATGAAGGAAGTTGGCTTAATTTTAAATACATACAAAAATTTAAGACCAGATTTACTCACATTATGAGTCTTCGGTTTAAGAACCAGTATTTCCTCCGACTTCTGTCATATCCAATAGGTTCATGTCGAATATATGGTTTGTTTTTTTGGATTTCAGCAACGCAGTCAGTCACACCAGGAACCTTATGTGCTACACAGACTTCACACTGCCACTCATCCTCTGGCACCTCCTCGAGAGGCGGCTTCACACATTCCAAATGGTACACTGCTGAGCAGGTCTCACAGCAAAGCAAATCCCCGAGTTTGTGACAAACCCTACAGTGGTCATCGTACTGGATCACCCCTTCAGACATCAACTCCTCACGAGCAATGTTTGTGGTAAGAAACTGATCGACTAAGAACTGCAGAACTTTGATTTTGTTCTCTACTGGTCCATAAGGATAGTCCTCTGCTTCTTGGTAAGGAAGGACATGATGGTACTCCTTGTCACTCTCACAGTACACCCGCAGCACCTCTGGCCACGTCATGCCATCGATGAAATACAGCGTGGAATTCACGCTATCTTTCAGATCGGCAGGTCCAAAGGTAGTATTGGAGGTGTCTTCTTCACGCAAAACTGCTTTCAAAAGCACTACGTGCATCTCCGCCATAAGTGTGCACTGCTCTTGACTCACCAGAGCTGCACAAAAGTCCTCAAAGCGAAAAGGAGATAACCTTAAAACTGTACCAAAGTTCCGCAGTACCTCATAAATGGCAATAACATTCATTATATGCTCATTAGGCACCATTAAATCCTCAGAGGACTTGGGAAATTCAAGGGGTGGGATGTCTTTTTCTTCCAATATTGGAGAACGAGGCCGATGTACTCTCGGTTTTCGCCTACCTGTAAATAAAGAAATGGTATAATTACAAATCAATACATCATTTCTACAAACTAAGGTTTTTCCTATTTGGACATATAGCCCCAAAAAGAGAGAAGCATACTTCTATTTTTCCAGTAACTGTCAAATTAAAATAATACCAAGAAGCAATGATTTAGCTCTAATCTTTAAGTCTACAGAAAATCTAAATTTAAAGTGTTCCCATTATATCCCAAACTAGAAGTAAAAAAAAAATTACAATTATAATCAGTTCTCAATTACCTAGAGGGGTTAACTGGTTTACAGGTAACCATGATAAAAAATAACAGTGCATTTGTGAAAGATCTGACAAGAACATAAGTGAGAAAAAGACATCTCCAAAGAAGAGAACAGGCGTAACAGATCGCACATGGTGCCAGCTGCACTAAGAAATGCCTCTCAGCAATCAGACAGGAAGTTCTCTGGTGCAGCGCACCCTTTCCTTGGCCAGTTCTTCCTGAGAGCCATGTAATGGGGAGTTCCACAGTGAAGCACAAGGTTAGGGCTGAGACAGAAAGGAAGAAGAAGTAAGGAAGAGAGAAGAGAAGCAGGGTTCCAATACTGGGAGAAAAAGGGGGAGCGGGACTCACTTAGGAAACAGACAACAGATTATAATTTTTAGCTGTAAATTAAGCAACAGGAGGTGTGCCTGTTCGCCAATTTATGAAATGTACAGTCCAGGAATATATATGTATGTAAATGTATCAATATATAGCACTTGAGACCTTAGTTCATAACAAGCAAGCAGATCTCATTTAATCCTCTGAACAAGTCTATGAGGTATTAATAAGAAACTTATGGAAAGAAACAATTTTCTCCAGAATTGCCATGCCCATGCCTGCATTTCCAATGATATTTACAGAATAGGAAATGTACTTTTAAATAGCAGACTTTTTATGAGATCAATTAACATTAAATTTATTTTTGTGTTATTGTTTTATTAACTAAGTTTTATTAACTATGGTTTTGGGTTGCTGGTCACCTCTTAACTGCCTCCTCCCTTCCCCATTGCTGTGCCCTCCTCACATCTAGTGAATTCTCATCATGTACAAACTAAAAGGGTACAGGGCACCAGGAAAAGAAAGTATGCTAAAGAATATAAAAGGTCAAGATCTTTTATTTTATACAATGCACCCCCCCATATTCATTCACTGGAAAGATTTTCCAAATAAGATTATATCCATTAGTTTCTGCAGAAAAAAGTCCAAGGGATCACTCTGGGCCAGACTTTGCTGGTGAGCCTACATCGTAAGAAAGAAACCTCCTCCATCTCAGCAAATATCCATCTACTACAAAGATGCCGTTTTCGCAGATTCAATTAAATCACAGAATCACCATGCTAGTAATAAGCATCACGATGGTAATCCAGTCCATTTCACTGTCTTCTGGAAGTTATTTGGGCCTCATTTGCAAAAGTATAAATGAGAGAAAGCAGAAAAGGATTAAAGGGAAGACTGAACCTAGAGGAATACCCTCAAGTGCAGGAGAAGAAACACAAGTCACCAAATGAGACAAACCTGCTTATAGAAACAGTCCCTGTGTACCTCTCAGCTGTTTATGCAAAATGCTGTCAAACAGAGTCCAAGTAAAGGATTACATAAGGAAAGGCTGGAAAAGTAGTTCTAGGATCAGAACATGGATCCGTAAATGTTAGGTGTAGGCATTTTTACAGCACTTTATTCTGGCAGTAATGTAGGTTGATGGCTTTGAATGAAGTAATGAAGACTTTTTGAGCAGGGCAGGGACATGCGAAGAATGTTCCAGAAAGACTTCTCTGGCTTCAGTGTATACAATGAATAGGACAGGGGGAACAAACCAGACACAGGGCATCTTCTGCAACTACCCAGAAGATAAAGACCTGGATTCAGAGTCTGGCTGTGGGAATGAAGAAAAAGATGAATAAAAGTGACCTTATGAAGAAAGAAACCAACTGGTGTGGAACATAACACCACCGCCCTAAGATTTAACTCTGGTACCATTTCCTCCAAAACGCTATTCTAACTCCCCCAAACTCTTCTGAATTCTCGTAGCCTTCTTTGAATCATTTGTTACCCTACAATTTACCTATTCATGGTATCCATTCCACCTCCATAGCTGAACACCCACCTCTTATGCCAAAGAAAGATCTGGCACGTTTGTTTTATTGGAAGCATTTGCTAGCATCATTCCCTTTAGAGAATTACCCTTCCCCTACACCATGTGATTCTGATGGGGCCCCCAAACACAGTATTCCACCTCTTGATCACTGGCAAGGCAGGCCAGTGAGAGTCTTGCCTGGGATTTTATATTCAGATGCTGAGTGAGAAGTGCTCTGAAGCCCATTCTTTCCATGAAGGTGGCCAGAGGCTGTATGTGGCTAACCCACCTTTACCTCCCTTGTGGAAGAAGGGAATAAGGACAAGAGACAGAAGCAGAAATGGGAGATAAGTATTGATAACTCACGAGTACTGACAGAGCCTGTCATTCAAATTTCCCAGTCAGGACTTCCCTGGTGGCGCAATGGTTAAGAATCCGCCTGCCAATGGGTTCATGGGGACATGGGTTCGATCCCTGGTCCAGGAAGATCCCATATGCTGCAGAGCAACTAGGCCTGTGCGCCACAACTACTGAGCCTGCACTCAAGAGCCCGCGTGCCACAACTACTGAAGCCCGCACACCTAGAGCCCAGGTTCTGCAACAAGAAAGCCACCACAGTGAGAAGCCCACGCACCACCACAAAGAGTAGCCCACGCTCGCTGCAACTAGAGAAAGCCCACGCACAGCAATGAAGACCCAATGCAGACAATAAATAAATAAATAAATTTTTAAAAAGCAAATTTCCCAGTCACACAAACCAAAAACCACTCCCCTTTTGCTTAAGTGAACATGTTGGTTTTCTGTTGCTTGCAAATAAAAGAGTACTGATTAAAACAGTATCTAACACTGTATACAAGCCTTTTATAATGAGAAACTCAGTAAATTGCCATTTCAAGACTATCAGTGAGAGCAGTTAATGTTTAAAAAAAAACTGTTGATAGTACTCTTTTGTAGTAAATTAACTTAGACAGTAACAGTAGTCTAATTTAATTTGATATCTAATTTTAAAATATCAGCTTTCACAGATGCTGAAAGATTTTGGATAAGCATGTATTATTCTAATATTTAACAGTTCATTTAGCTTTATATTAAGCTAAAGTCTGTTAGCTTTCTAAGGTAAAAGGAAGAAAGGCAAACAAAGGTTCATAAATTCTACATTCTATCATCTAGCTGGAAACCACAAAACAGTATCTATTCAAACTACAACTACATACATACTGAACAACGTGAGCACTTTTACAAGTTAGCATTAAATGCTGGCCAGTTCATTCTGAAGCATTATTGGGAGTTTAAATCGATTCAATTTTTTTAAATTTATTTATTTAGGCTGCGCCACGTCTTAGTGGCGGCACAGGGGATCTTTTAGTTGCAGCACGCATGCGGGAATAAGGTAAAATTCATGTGCTGAAATAAGAAATCTTTAAGATATATAATTAAGTAGATGAAAAAGCCAGCTACAGAACAATGACTAGAATGTCATTTGAGAAACAAAATTAGAAACAAAAAAAGAAAAGAGAACAATAATAAAGTATATACATCGAAGAGGTCATATATGAATCTTTTTAAAGTAGCTGTTCCTGGGGAGGAGAAATGGAGGAAAAAAAAGACTAATTTTTTTATCCTTTTATATTCTTAAATACCACATGCATATATTTTTATTATAATATTTTTAAAGAAAAATATTGGGCGGGTATCTATACAAATATATAAAAATATTAATATGCTACCAGTAATGGCTACTGATGGTCTTGTATGAATACAAATATAAGGTCATTTTGCCAAATTCAAAGATTTGGGTTTACAGAACTGAGCACAGATTACAGTGTATAAAGAGAAAACTCATAAAATTAAACCACTTAAGCCCCTCAACTGTCAATCATTAGTATTAGCAAGTAAAGATATTTCAACTATTCAGGGAAATGTATTTATAATATACCATTGAGGATTACACTCATTACCATTTTCAACACTCATCTACTATCTAGCAGATAAAGTATATTAATTTTCCTGTATTTAAAAAAAAAGGGATTAACGTCAACCTCACTAGCCATCAGGAAAAGGCAAATTAAAACCACAATGAGATACTGTTTCATACTCAACAATGGACAAAAATTTTAAAGTCCATCCAAACAAACTTTTGGGAAGAACGGAGAACAACAGAGACACCAGTATACCACACTCGGGACTGTAAGTGCCATCACCACTTTGGAGAGCAATTCAGTAACAGTCAGGTTAAGGTTGTGCACACAACCCTGAAGGGGCAGTTTGAAAATTTTTTGCCCATGGTCCAAAGTAAGAAATACATTTTACATTTAAATCTAGTACACACCTACCCCAAAACTAAAGTTCTACAAAGCACTACTCTTATACTAATATCTTCTCTTCCATCCCATTCCAATACCTTCTATTCCATTCTCTTTCTGCTTTTAAATTATGCTGGTTGCAGCCCACAGTTTGAAAAACACTTCTCAGGAATTCCCTGGCAGTCCAGTGGTTAGGACTCTGAGCTTTCACTGCCGAGGGCCCAGGTTTGATCCCCTGGTCAGGGAACTAAGATCCCACAAGCCACACCCCAACCCAACCCCTCAAAAAAAGAAAGAAAAACACTTCTCTAGAGAAACTCTCCTTATACATATGCAGAACACTGAACATTGCGTATAAAAGCAAGTGGTCAATCAAGCTGGAAACAACCAAAATGTGCATCAACAGGGGAACGACTGAACTGTGAAACATTCATCTGATAGAATCCTTTTTTGGGGGCCATGCTGCTTGGCTTGCGGGATCCTAGTTCCCTGACCAGGGATCAAACCCGGCCCCCGGCAGTGAAAGCATGGAGTCCTAACCAGTGGACCACCAGGGAATTCCCCATTTGATAAAATTCCATAGAGCAGTCAAGGGCTACATATGT